AGCCCGGCTCCTCCCGCCCCCCCCCCCGGGACCCCGACGGCAGCCCCGGGCATCCCCGGTTTAGTGCCCCTGGGTGGGGACCCCCCGTCCCTGGGCATCGCTGGGTGGGTGCCACTCGACAAGCACCCTCGGGTGGGTTTGTGGTCCCGCGCCGGCCAGGATCCCATGGGTGGGCACCCTTGGGTGAGCATCCCTAGAGCAGCACCTTTGGAAGAGCACCCTGGGATGAACGCCTTAGGGTGGGCATCTCTAGGTGACTACCCCAGAGTGGGCACCCCTGAGTGGGTGCCCTTGGGTTGGCGTCCTTGGACCAGTACCCTTGGAAGAGCACTCTGGGATGGGCACCCATAAATGGGCACCCCTAAATGGGCATCCCTGGATGGGCATCCCGAGATGGGCACTCCTGGACCAATACCCTTGGATGAGCACCCTGGGATGAACACCTTAGGATGGGCATCTCTAGGTGACCACCCCAGAGTGGGCACCCCTGAGTGGGTGCCCCTGGATTGGCATCCTTGGACCAGGACCCTTGGAAGAGCACTCTGGGATGAACACCTTAGGATGGGCATCACTAGGTGACCACTCCTAAATGACCACTCCCCTGAATAGGGACCCTTAGATGAGGACCCTTGAATGAGCACCCCTGGGTGGGCACCCTGGGAGGGGCACCCCTGGAGCAGCACCTTTGGAAGAGCACCCTGGGATGAACGCCTTAGGGTGGGCATCTCTAGGCGACCACCCCAGAGTGGGCACCCCTGAGTGGGTGCCCCTGGGTTGGCATCCTTGGACCAGTACCCATGGAAGAGCACTCTGGGATGAACACCTTAGGATGGGCATCACTAGGTGACCACTCCTAAATGACCACTCCCCTGAATATGGACCCTTAGATGAGGACCCTTGAATGAGCACCCCTGGGTGGGCACCCTGGGATGGGCACCCATAGATGGGCAACCCTGAATGAGTACCCCTAAATGGGCATCCCGAGATGGGCACTCCTGGACCAGCACCCTTGGATGAGCACCCTGGGATGAATATCTTGGGATGGGCACCCCAGAGTGGGCTCTCCTGAGTGGGCGCCCCTGGGTTGGCATCCTTGGACCAGTACCCTTGGAAGAGGACTCTGGGATGGGCACCCATAGATGGGCACCCCCAATTGGCCATCCCTAGATAGGCATCCCAAGATGGGCACTCCTGGACCAGCACCCTTGGATGAGCACCCTGGGATGAACACCTTAGGATGGGCATCACTAGGTGACCACTCCTAGATGGGGCCCCTGGGTGGGGACCCCCCGTCCCTGGGCATCGCTGGGTGGGTGCCACTCGACAAGCACCCTCGGGTGGGTTTGTGGTCCCGCGCCGGCCAGGATCCCATGGGTGGGCACCCTTGGGTGAGCATCCCTGGAGCAGCACCTTTGGAAGAGCACCCTGGGATGAACGCCTTAGGGTGGGCATCTCTAGGTGACCACCCCAGAGTGGGCACCCCTGAGTGGGTGCCCCTGGATTGGCATCCTTGGACCAGGACCCTTGGAAGAGCACTCTGGGATGAACACCTTAGGATGGGCATCACTAGGTGACCACTCCTAGATGGGCACCCCCCCGTAGGGACCCTTAGGTGAGGACCCTTGAATGAGCACCCCTGGGTGGGCACCCTGGGATGGGCACCCCTGGACCAGCACCTTTGGAAGAACACCCTGGGATGAATACCTTGGGATGGGCTCTCCTGAGTGGGCGCCCCTGGGTTGGCATCCCTGGACCAGTACCCTTGGAAGAGCACTCTGGGATGGGCACCCATAAATGGGCACCCCTAAATGGGCATCCCTGGATGGGCATCCCGAGATGGGCACTCCTGGACCAATATCCTTGGATGAGCACCCTGGGATGAACACCTTAGGATGGGCATCACTAGGTGACCACTCCTAGATGGGCATCCCAAGGTGGGCACTCCTGGACCAGTACCCTTGGAAGAGCACTCTGGGATGGGCACCCATAGATGGGCACCCCTGAATGAGCACCCCTAAATGGGCATCCCAAGGTGGGCACTCCTGGACCAGTACCCTTGGATGAGCACCCTGGGATGAACACCTTAGGATGGGCATCACTAGGTGACCACTCCTAGATGGGCATCCCAAGGTGGGCACTCCTGGACCAGTACCCTTGGAAGAGGACTCTGGGATGGGCACCCATAGATGGGCACCCCTGAATTAGCACTCCTAGATGGGCATCCCAAGGTGGGCACTCCTGGACCAGTACCCTTGGAAGAGGACTCTGGGATGGGCACCCATAGATGGGCACCCCTGAATTAGCACTCCTAGATGGGCATCCCAAGGTGGGCACTCCTGGACCAATATCCTTGGATGAGCACCCTGGGATGAACACCTTAGGATGGGCATCACTAGGTGACCACTCCTAGATGGGCACCCCCCGTAGGGACCCCTAGGTGAGGACCCTTGAATGAGCACCCCTGGGTGGGCACCCCGGGATGGACACCCCTGGAGCAGCACCTTTGGAAGAGCATCCTGAGATGAATACCTTGGGATGGGCACCCCAGAGTGGGCTCTCCTGAGTGGGCGCCCCTGGGTTGGCATCCTTGGACCAGTACCCTTGGAAGAGCACTCTGGGATGGGCACCCATAGATGGGCACCCCTGAATTAGCACCCCTAGATGGGCATCCCAAGGTGGGCACTCCTGGACCAGTACCCTTGGATGAGCACCCTGGGATGAACACCTTGGGATGGGCATCACTAGGTGACCACTCCTAAATGACCACTCCCCTGAATATGGACCCTTAGATGAGGACCCTTGAATGAGCACCCCTGGGTGGGCACCCCGGGATGGGCGCCCCTTAACCAGCACCTTTGGAAGAGCACCCTGAGATGAATACCTTGGGATGGGCACCCCAGAGTGGGCTCTCCTGAGTGGGCGCCCCTGGGTTGGCATCCTTGGACCAGTACCCATGGAAGAGCACTCTGGGATGGGCACCCATAGATGGGCACCCCTGAATTAGCACCCCTAGATGGGCATCCCAAGATGGGCACTCCTGGACCAGCACCCTTGGATGAGCACCCTGGGATGAACACCTTAGGATGGGCATCACTAGGTGACCACTCCTAAATGACCAATATGGACCCTTAGATGAGGACCCTTGAATGAGCACCCCTGGGTGGGCACCCCGGGATGGACACCCCTGGAGCAGCACCTTTGGAAGAGCATCCTGAGATGAATACCTTGGGATGGGCACCCAGAGTGGGCTCTCCTGAGTGGGCGCCCCTGGGTTGGCGTCCTTGGACCAGTACCCTTGGAAGAGCACTCTGGGATGGGCACCCATAGATGGGCAACCCTGAATGAGTACCCCTAAATGGGCATCCCGAGATGGGCACTCCTGGACCAGCACCCTTGGATGAGCACCCTGGGATGAACACCTTAGGATGGGCATCACTAGGTGACCACCCCAGAGTGGGCACCCCTGAGTGGGTGCCCCTGGATCAGCATCCTTGGACCAGTACCCTTGGAAGAGCACTCTGGGATGGGCACCCCTAGATGGGCACCCCTGAATTAGCACCCCTAGATGGGCATCCCTGAATGGGCACCCCTGAATGGACACCCCTAAATGGGCACCCCTAGATGGGCACCCCTGGACCAGCACCCTTGGAAGAGCACCCTGGGATGAACACCTTGGGATGGGAATCCCTAGATGGGGACTCCAGAATGAGTAACCTTGGATGGGCACCCCTAGATGGGCACCCCTGAATTAGCACCCCTAGATGGGCACCCCTGAATTAGCACCCCTAGATGGGCATCCCAAGATGGGCACTCCTGGACCAGCACCCTTGGAAGAGCACCCTGGGATGAACACCTTGGGATGGGAATCCCTAGATGGGGACTCCAGAATGAGTAACCTTGGATGGGCACCCCTAAATGCCCACCCTAGATGGACACCCCTGTTTGCCTGGCACCAGGACAGACCCCACCACCCAGCCCCCTCCACGGGGGTGTCCCCCAGGGGGTCCCCATCCAACAGGGCACGGCCAAGCACGATGTGACAGTGACACGGGGCTGCCGGGGTGTCAGACTTGGGTGTCACCACCCTCTGACCCCTCGGATGGGCACTGCCGTGGTGACAG